AGATTACTGAAATTTTGGACAAAAATTCGAAATTCAAATCTGATATTGGAGTATTAAATGTAGGAGAAGACGTTAGAATGAGGAAAGGAGAGAGAAAATTAATTGTGAATAGGAGAGAGAAAATTAGATTGTGTATAAATTATATACAAAATTAGAAAATAAGGTTTTTATACAATTGGTTACATAATAGGTTGTGGGCCCCCATTAATTATAGCAAAATAAAATAAACTATAATTATATAATGTAAATAAATTAAACTATACCCCTAATATATAATTAGTTATGAATGTTTGTCATTTCATATAATTTTCCCTAATATTAAAATAGCATTAGTAATAATGAAAATGGATAATTTTGTAAAATCTGTTGTTGATTGAGTCAAATGAGAAACATGTTGAAATATTTTTAAATTGGTACTTGTATCGAATTCTGTACTTTGTGTTGGATTGTATTACGGCTCTTATACTTAGTTTTTTTATCATCTGGACTCTTGAACTTAATCAAAATGAGATTTTTAACTCCCTCTGACCATGTGTGTATCTCAGTCTTCCATACATAAATAACATGTTATATCCATGTCATATATATTAATGTCAAGTCATAATTTTCTTCATAATAATTTTTTAATTATTAGTAAAAATATTAAATAAAAGACAAATTTTAGAAAAATTTATTTTATCAAAAAAAACTTTTATTATTTTTGTACACCTTTCCTCCACCTTCCCTAACCCACAAATACTGTCAAAACTCCACCATCTCCATATTCCCATTTTTTTCTTCTTCGATTTTTTCACAATCCAACAATCTGATGAAGTCATGAAACTACTTTACTCCCCGCTAGTGCCAGTTCATTTTATTATCGACATTTCTAATCCTCCCTATTTTCACTATTTCACCACCAAGCTGGCATCGTAAAATCCATTAGAATCCAATTGAAAAACCCAATATAGCATTTTCGATTTTCCGGCATGGATAGCAATACAAACTGACCGGAACAAGGTAGAGGATCTCGTCGATGCCGGAGAAATCGATGGAGCCATTGCGTCGTCTCTATTTTTGACTGCGGTGTCCATTTTTGTCGGTGTCATCGCCATGTTTACCAGCTAGATCAAAGTAACAACAACCTAAGTCATCTAATAACTATAATAACAACAACCAAGCCACCTAATAATCAGATCTAGCCAAACTTTTCATAATCCAATGCTAACTACTATTTCACACACCAAATTGCTTACAAATACAAGAATAATTTTGACACTAAAAGGGGTCAAGTTACTCATTAGAGATATCAACAACTCCAATAATTTCTGATTTTTCTTTACTTATTATGTTTAAAATTTTTTGCCCAATTTCG